GCAAATTCTCACAATACACACCGAGTGGCCAGATTATTATATACACTGAGTGGCCGGATTATTATATACACTGAGTGGCCGGATTGTTATATACACTGAGTGGCCGGATTATTATTTACACTGAGTGGCCGGATTATTATATACACCGAGTGGCCGGATTATTATATACACCGAGTGGCCGGATTGTTATATACACTGAGTGGCCGGATTATTATATACACTCTATTTTTATGAACGTCTGCACTTTTTGACGGAGGGTGCGGGTACCATAGGTGCCTGCTCCTGAAGTTGGGGAGGAGATTCTGTGACCTACACAAGAGCCCCCTGCCTCCTCCCACTTGGGGGTCTCCCTCCAGGGGAGCCCCCAACCTAGTACTCGGTGGACCTTGTTTCCGCAGCTCACAGAGGATCGGGGTCCGCCAGCCTTCGGGTGGGTGGACCTAAGTCGTTCCTGTCCCTGTCAGGAACCTTGTGCCCCAGGGGGATCAGGAAATAGTGGCCCTTCTTATCAGAGAGGACCAACGGCACCCTCGTGCACTTTTTTGTTGTGTGTTGTGATTTCACAATTCCCTTTGTTCACAGGGGATGTTTGCGAGGCACGCTCCACGGGCTTCAAACAAAAATCACTTCTCCTGGCACTTTTTTTAAGGCTGAACTGCAGTCAGTCATAATAAGGGGGTCGGAGGGGCATCCCTTCTAAAAAGAAAAACACCCTTGCAATGGGGTGTCAGAGAGAATCCCAGGTCCTGCTCTGCACACATCAGCTGGTAGACCTTCTGGAAAAGCCACAATTTTGAAACTTGCAAGTTTAGAGTTTTGCATAATCAAAAGTTAGTACTGCTTTAAATAAAATATTAGAATGCAGAATGTGTGCATATACTGTATATATATATATATATTGTGGCAGTGCGTGGCAATGCCATGGTGTCATTCGGCAATATAGTCACCCAGGACTCTCAGCCGGCGGGCGGGGGGCTGAGCAGTTCCAGAAAGCACAAACGTTTACTGGGAAAGAGCTGGCTTTGCAGTTCTTCCCGGGTTTTCCGGATTTGGCTCGGGTTCCTGGAACTGGGAGATTTCAAAGAGCATTGGGAGGGATGGAATCTCCATTCCTGGGTCCGGGCTTTAGTAGTGACCAGCACCGAGTGGTTGTGCACCTGTGCACAGCCCTTATGAAGAGAATGCTGGCTCACGTTCAGGGCTCCACCTGGGAGACAGGAAAACTCCTCCCAGAAGTCAGAGTGGAGTCCAATGCAGCACGGTGATGCAGGTTGGAAAAGTGTGCAGTTTAGCATGAGACTGTCTGGAGGAACGGACAGTGGCCTGAGGTCTGAGGCCGGGGCAGCGGTGCTGCAAATGCAAAGCCAGGAGGCTGGATGTGCATGTGCTACCAAGAGACCCTAAAGAACCCCTGCGGGGTAATTGCTTTCTTTTTGTGAACTTTCTTTTTATAAAAGTGGGCAAGGAAGCCCTTAAATGATGATTTCAGTGAGTGGATGCCTCCTTAATGCACTACTGTTTGGAGCAAATTCTCACAATACACACCGAGTGGCCAGATTATTATATACACTGAGTGGCCGGATTATTATATACACTGAGTGGCCGGATTGTTATATACACTGAGTGGCCGGATTATTATTTACACTGAGTGGCCGGATTATTATATACACCGAGTGGCCGGATTATTATATACACCGAGTGGCCGGATTGTTATATACACTGAGTGGCCGGATTATTATATACACTGAGTGGCCGGATTATTATATACACTGAGTGGCCGGATTATTATATACACCGAGTGGCCGGATTATTATATACACCGAGTGGCCGGATTATTATATACAC